TTAGCGTCATAAAGTCCAGCTTGTCTCCCTCGATCCAAAGGCCGTTTTCTCGAGGGGAGGGCAGGCCCGGCTTGGAGGGGTGCTGTGGGGCCGTCTTGCCCAGGCCCTCCTGGGAGGGGCACAGGCATTGCTGCCAGGGGTGAGGCCGTGCTGCAGGCCTCCCCAAAACCAAAGGGGAAGGCAGGGGTGGGGCCGCAGCTGAAGCCGGCTCCCCAACCAAAATGCTGCACCAAAGCTTGGGCGTCGCGGGCACGGCCATTGCCGCCTTTTCCCAGCCTGGCTCCGGTGAGGGCAGGTGGGCCCTGCCAGGCGGGTGCTTCTCGACGCACCTGCTCCCAGAGGCTGTGCCCCGACGCCCAGAACCTGAGGCGGGACGGCTGGCTGGTGTCGCCCTGCTCAGCCCCGGGCCGTGCTGCGTGGGGCGCTGGCATGGGGCTTCCTGCGTCCGTGCTCCGCCACCCGGCCAGCGGCCAAGACAAAACGCCTTAAAGCCCCAGCCCGGCCCCGCAGGTGTGTGCGCAGGGGCCTGGGGGTGCCCTGGACTGGCAGGCGGTCCCCAGCAGGGTCGCCTGGAGGCTGCCAGGCAGAGTGGGGCAGCTTGGGGCCGTGCATGGGCCGTGGCTGGGAGTCTAGGTTTCGCTTTACCAAGTGTACAGAAATGGCATTCACGTTTCTCTGACGCTCCCTTGAAGCCATAGAATTTAGGGGCTTTTTTAAAAAAATTAAAAAAATGAAATCAAACCCAAGTGTTGTGTCTGGACTTTGTACGAAGGTTGGCCTGGAGCAGACAGTGCCTCCATCCCAGCCCTGCCCACAGGGGAGGGACAGGTCAGGGGCGATGGCGGAGGATGGGAAGGTAAGGAAGACCGAAGCGGAGGGTAGAGCTGGGCTCTGTCTGGGGAGAGGGCAGGAGACAGTTTTCACTGACCACGGAAAGGGGAAGTCACAAACATGCAACTGCGTGACCGGTTCCTGTTCCCCAGAGCTGCACAGAGACCCGGAAAACCTCAGTGACGGGGCCCAGGCGGGGTGGTCCCGGCCGCCTCTCACCGCGGAAGGCCTCCTGACTCGCTCTGTTCATGCAGCAGGGAAGCAAGCGTCTGCCCGGGTCCCACAGCACAGTGGAGGCATCGGCAGAAGCTCTGGGAAAAGCAGAGGCAACTGCAGGCGGGTGAGGACCGTGGCAGCCCGTCCCATACCTTCTCCCCAGACAACGCCCGATGCTTGGCAGCCGGGAGCAAGCGTCCACACGAAGCTGCCTTTGTAAGGGAGGTACAGGCAGAACTCCCCAAATGCCGGGCGGGGTCTCCGTCTCCACCCCGACCTCCTGCAAGGCTGAGGGGAATGAAGGCAGCAGAGGCAGTGGCTGGGGGAGGGGGAAACTCCCGCCCCCCTCCACGAACAGCCAAGGAAGTCCACCCTCCCCAGACGAGTCACTGTGAACTGAAGGGGACACAGGTCCCTCCCAGGAAGCACTGGAGGCCGGAAAGCCACCCCAAATCAGAGACTCAGAAGCACAGCAGTGAACAAACCACCCACAATGAATTGAATTCAGGAAGGAAACATTGGAAAAAGAAAAACCCGTTTTGGAAATGAATAAATCGCCCGAGACCCCCATGAAAATGGGAGGAAAGGCACCGAAGGCAGAGTAACAATGAGGTGAAAGAAGAGAGACTGCCGGACACGTCACCCAGTCCCTAAGAGGGTCAAAGAACAGCTGGGCTTCGAGTCTTCCAAGAAGGGAAACGGAGCAAGCAGGTAAGACCCTCATCCAAGGAGGCTTTGCACAAAAAGACCCGAATCGCCACGTTGACCGTGCACCTGAGAAAAATTAAACAAGAGCAGTCAGCCGGGCGCGGTGGCTCACACCTGTAATCCCTGCACTTTGGGAGGCCAAGGCGGGTGGATCATGAAGTCAAGAGTTCAAGACCAGCCTGGCCAAGATGGTGAAACCCTGTCTCTACTAAAAAT